AAGCACTTTTTCATTTTGGTGTATGCTGTGTTGAATGGTTTCAAAGATTTCTTCTTATTTTGGAATCCATGTTTTCTCTATTTTTTTTGTTTGGGCTATGTGCAATAATTTGGCCACATGTGCAGCTCAGCATCATAGGAACACCTCTCCTGGAGAAGATGCTGTGTCTTCCCTCTAGATGCCACGACATTCTCCAGGGTCAGGAAGGCCTCTGAGATGTGGCAGGGACCATCTGGGGTGTCTGTGCCCTCTTGCAAGTGAGAACATGAGTCATTTGTGAGGAACATCTGGGGATATTTTGTTTAATAGGGTTTTTTACAGCTCTTGTGGCTTTGGGTATTAGCACTGTCTCTGCTACTTCTGTTCTCTGACAGAGGCACATGCAGCAGCTGAATCTCCTAAGAGTCAACTAAGCCATATTATTGGCTCCCTCCTGGGGTAGCTGGGTGAAACTTAATAGTCCATGAGATACAAGAAGTCAGTAGAAATGATCTAATGTCCCTTTCTAGTCTTAAACTCAGTGAAATGGTGAAAATTCTGCATCTAAAGGAGATGGCAGATGAGCAGTTGCCAGGATCTCCTACCAGGCTTCCTCCCCAGCTGTGTCCCTGGAGAGCAGTTCCCTTTTTGCAGTCTTGTTTGCAGATTCTCAGCAGAATGCACAGTTTTCACTGCTGGAGACCAAATCCTCATTTCCATCCTTCTGTGCAGCCCATTTGCCCTTCCTCCTGCCTCAAATCCTCAGACTATTCCAGCCCCTCTTTGTGGTGATGCTTTCTGAGAGAAACTTTTTGGGTTATCCTCTTTAACCAAAACCTAAAAGAGATACCTGTTTTATCTGACACCTGCCTTTCACCCACAACAACATGGATCAGGTCAAACAACCGCTTGCAAAATACCTCTGACTCTTTTTATACAGAAATCAATCTTGTTCATCTACTCTCTCTGCAGACAAAAAAAAATTCTACTATGAATTTTTAGAGACTCAAAACACCTCTTTTGCTTTCCTCTTCCACAGAGAAAATGCTCAATTTAAAGTTGTGAGTGTTGATGAATTTATTGATGTATTTTTCTTTTTCTTGGAAGCGTCTGCAAAGGTGGCCAGAGCTGTCTCTCTTCAGCTCCCGAAGAGGTGTCCTCTCCTGTGTGTGCTTTCAGCAAAATCAGTGTTCCTCTCTGATGTACACTCTTTACCTTGAGTATTTCCATATGAAAGGAGAACTTTTGAGAAACACTGCAGGACAAGAAATCCTAGAGTCTGTGGATTCCAAGAATCAGTGAATCACAGATGCCCTTTTCCTCATCTGAATTCAAGGACACATCAGCTCCCTGATGGCTACCATTCCACAGGGGAAGGGCAGCCTCCCCTGCTTGTCCTACCACATCAGTCACTTTTTAGCTAACTTACAAACTATTTTGACTTTTGCTGTAAGTTAGAAAAGTTTTTGGAGCAGTCAGATGAGCTCTCACCTCACCTGGCTGCATCAGACACCGCAGAGATGTGTCCAGGAGTGGTTGTCACTGGATTGTCTCTTCAGCATAACCAGGTGACAATCTTGTTAATGCCTCTGCTTTTAGCTAATTTTCCTTGTTGAACAGCACTAGAGATGTCAGGGAGAAATCCTGTGCCTGGAGAAGCAGGGATATGGGGTGTCCATGGTCCTGCTGCAGCACACACTGGGAATGCCTCAGCCACAAATCCCAAACTGATCAATTAAACAAGAATGATCAGGGAGAGCACAGTAGTAGCTGCCACAGTTATCAACCATTGTGGATTATATTTTCCAAGGGCTATTTTAGAGGGAAACTCTTCTGTAATAAATGACAAATTCAATGTAAGATAGGAGCACAGGTACAGCCCAGAACTGCCACTCTCTGTCCTTCCCCACCCTGTAGCCCAGAGACCACAAACAGCACGTGCAATCAGCCACAGATGTCTGCATTTGCATCCAAGCAAACCCTCCTCACTCGTGCTCACATCCTGGGATAGGCAAACATTTATCCTGTTGGATTTCACCCAGATTCCTGCCTGCAGGAATGAGCTTGAGGTGGAACTGTCCAAATTCAGCTGCTGGAGCTGATCTCCAGGCTGACTGCAGCTCTCCTCTGCAGGAAAAGCTGGGCTGGGGCCAGCCAGCTGCTCACAGACAGCCAGCACAAGGCTTGGAAAGGGTGATGCTGTCAGCAGCCAATTGACCAGAAGAGCTCAGCTTCTTGGACCTTCCATTCCAGCTCAATCTTCATCCCTTTTATGTTTCTTAACCTTTTTAGAAATCCATCAGGCAGAGTCTAGTGACCGTTCATCACTACAAAAACAAAGAGAGCTTAAAATATTTGCTTCCTCTACTTAAGGTTTACAATTATTAGTAGTAGATTCTTAGGAAGTTGCAGAGCAATCAAATGAGAACAGAATAATTAACAAATTTGCTTCATAAAACAATTAAAGGAAAAGTAAAGAAGTTTCAGCAATCTTTTAGTGTATTAAATTACAAGCAAGTAATTTATTTTTAGTTTTGCTGCGTAAATTCATTTGGAGCATCTGTAATTTAAAATAGCCCTGAGATTTACATAATTTTGCAGCCAAGTTCAGTCCCAGAAAGGTGGCTACAGCTCTCACTCTTCGTTTTTCCAGATTAACTGACATAAGAGTTTCTTTGTTTTTCTTTGGGAGATAACTCTTGGCAAGCCTTTTTTTTTCTTTATTTTTCCAAATTATCTGCCTTGTCCATAGCTCCTCTTATTCTGCAAGTACAAAGCAAGTGAGGGTTCTTTCCAAACTTACTAATGATATAGAGTGTTCACTCTCCCAGTTGCCTTTGGTACAATCTGTTTCGAATGCTGGCACTGATGATGTCTCAGAACAGTGTAGGAGGGATGCCTGAGCGTGACTGAGCCACAAAGTTAAAAAAAAAAAAATATGAAAAATGATAGATTCCTTTCAAATAGAAAAGAAAATCCAAGGAAGCCATGCCTAAAACAAAACAAACCAAGCCCAGCTAAGTTTATTGTCTGGATTATTAATTGTACTGGATTGTTCAGCTGTCCCGAAAATGTCTCTTTAATCATTCAGTGAGGCTGAAGCCTGGGTCTCCAGAGATCACATTCTGATCTCTCACATATGGTATTTTGCACTGTTCATTAGACCCACTGCTCCAGTCACATGGAAACGATGCTCAGACTATTTCCATCTGTATCTGCTACTTTTCTTCCCGAATGTGTCAGTCTCATGATGAGGGCAGTGACTCCAGCTGATACAGACACAATTGCTGATTGCAAAGAGAGGCACTGCTGTGAAAATAAAGAGAAGAGGGGGTTATTTCCGTCTCGGTTCAGGCTTTCTGAGCTGTCCCTGCCCTGCAGAACAGCAAATTCCCTTGTGGGAGGAAAGTGCTGAGATCACAGGTGCTAATCAGTGAAAAGAGGATGAGTGACCCTGCGAACAAACTGCGGGACTGGGATGCCCAAAAACTGGGCTCAGCTCCAAGACAAAGGAAAAAATTTCTTCAGTCTTATGAGATTCCATTCTCAGCTCTCAGCACCACCACGAAGCCTGGCTGCTTGGTTTCGGGGGTGAGATGGGAGCAGGGACTTGCTTTGCACAGCGGGAAACAGCATTTCTTACTCTTCCCTCTGAATGTTTGGTGCTGGCAGTAGCGAAGTGAGGAAGTCTTTTCCAGGATGGCTGTAAGCCAGCCAGGACTGACTTTGGGTCCCTGCTGGAGGGACAGAGCTCACGTGGAGCCCAGCTAAGGATGCAAGAAGCTCATGTTTAGCTTTCTCCAGCCACACAAGCAGAAGGTTTGGTACTGGCAGTTAGCAGCAGAATCAGGTCAGGGATTCCCGAGCAGCACAGAGGGACCCCAGAATGTCACATCCAGCTCCTCAGCGTGCACTCGTGTTGGGAGAGCGGGAGAGTGATGTGTGAAGTGTCGAGGCAGTGTAAATGTCACAGCCAGAGGTCTTCAGAGTCAGAGTGACAAGAGGAGGAGACACTAGTGCCAAGAGTTCTGACACAGGAAAAGCGCTGTCACTGCCACCACCTCCGGCTTGGAGATTTATTGATGGTAACTTGGGATGTGCCATAAACAGTTGTGATATTAAATGAGTCTGACTGTCTCAGGGGCTAAGTTTTACAACCCAAAGTGTGAACTCCCTGTCTCGCTGAGATCCTGAGGCATTTTCCCAGCAGTTCCCACGATCTCATTAAGTGCTCTCCAGAGAAGGGCTCCAACCCAGGGAGCCCTCCCTGCACAGCACAGCACCAGGGGCTGAGGACAGACAGACAGACACCTGGAGGGAATGCAGCAACCTCTCCTGGCAGAGGCCTCCAGGACACTGCTGATACCTCACTGGGCTCACAGCCCTGTCTCCACGGTTTTGAGAGGAAACCAGAAATTGCTGAAGTTGTGTTCCCAGCGCCCACCCGGTGTCACAGGCTCTGACTCAGTGCCAGCAGCTCATGGCCCAGGACAGATCCCCCTGGAGCTGTGCTGTGGCTACGTTGAACCCTGGTGAACCTTTGCTGAGATGTCCTCTCAGAGCAGTTTCCTCAGCTCCTGAGGTCAAACCCGTGGTTTCCCTCTGGAGTTGTTGGCCACAAAGGGCTGTGCTGCTGTGCAAAGGTTTTCCTTCTGCCCCGTGAATGCTTCCAGGGCTGCAGTAGTCGCTTTCTGCCGAGGGGTTCCCATTGTTCAAATAACTCATTTTACCCCAGAAGCAGCAAAATCTTCAGCAGAGCCCTGGGGACACTGATTTCATTCTTTTGAGTAATTTCTTCCTATCAAAAGTAAAGCAGATCTGTGGGGGCCAAGGGCAGGGCACTCCATGGCCACAAACCCTGTTCTTCACAAGTTGCCTTCACCAACCCACCCACCTGGGGGAAAGTTATCTAGTCCAGAGAGACCCTGCCGCTTATCTCAGGGAAAAGGTTTATTTTGGTGTCATTGCTGAGAAACCTCCTTGATCTTCTGCCCTCACGAGCTTTCCCTCTGCCCCTGCAGTCTGCTCACAGTTCTCCAAGGGCGTCTACGCCATCTTCGGGTTTTATGAGAGGAGGACCGTCAACATGCTCACGTCTTTCTGCGGGGCCCTCCACGTCTGCTTCATAACGCCGAGCTTCCCCGTCGAAACCTCCAACCAGTTCGTCCTGCAGCTGCGCCCCGAGCTCCAGGATGCCCTCATCAGCGTCATCGAGCACTACAGCTGGCAGAAGTTTGTGTACATTTACGATGCTGACCGGGGTAAGTCGCAGCTGTGTGGGAAGGGCTACCAGGCAGTTAAAGGCAGTGGTCTAGAAGGAGTCTTTGCCTCCAAAAGTTGTGGGTCCTGAGTCAACCTATGCCTTCCCTGTCCTCTGTTTCTCCTCTAAATATCCCTTTCTGCTGAAGGTGGGCATTGATGTACATGAAGCATCAGCCTGACCCCGGTGTGTGTGTGTGTGTGTGTGTTTTCATGTGGTCAGATCCGAACCCCATCAACATGAGGGAAATATTTGATGTGCAAATGGTTTGGAATTTGAAATGGGGAAATTGTTTCTATCCAATAGGTGCCGTATTGAACTGGTCTGTCAAACTCAAAGCCACTGAGTCCTGAGTTTGGAAACATGAACAGACACTTGCTCAGGCCTCACCTAAGCCCACAGCCAGGTGTGAAAGGTGTGCTTCTGGCAGATAGCTTGGAAAACTCCAGATTCTCCATGGTGGTGCATGTCAGTTTTCCATGTGAAAGAACAAAAACCCTTGCTGGATAATGGAAGATGTTATCTTACTTTCTAAACCGCAAACAGAGCTAGAGAGCTCATTGCTCCATGGTTCAGTTTTCCCAACTCTCAGGTGCCTTTAAAGCTCCAGGCTTGGAGGCTGCAAGCAAAGCAGACCTGTGGAGGATAGGGCAGAGGTAAAGTGATTCACATCTCTGTCCTGGAAGTTATGATTATCCCCTGAAGGGACAGGATGGGCTTTAGAGACAAGCAGAAGGTATGAAAGCATCCCACCTGCTTTCTGTTGTCATGAGGCATGAGCACACTGAATATTCCAGGAGCACAGGGTTGTTTAGGGCTGTCCAGCACATTTCCAGAGAATTGCTATGTACATCTTCTCTAGAAAGCTGTGCATGTAATCTGGGCAAAGTAATTCTAAAAGTAATGGTCTCCTGATGAGACGCTGCCAAGAGAGAAGGATGCTGAGTATGATGGTGTACTGCAATTGCTGAAGGTGTCCCTAACCCTAGGAGCACACAGCCTAAGCAGATCAAAGATGAGAGGGAAACTATGGGTCAGAGAAATCAAGTTATCTGGGTAGTGGCAGACAGGAAGACAGGGATTAGAGTTCTTATCTGAATCCCACAGAAGGCCCTGATCAACGAGACTGATCTGCCAATTACAAAAGAGAATTAGTCCCGGAATCATCTGTGCTAGGACAGAAAAAGCAGGAGTCATTAACTCCAGCCCAGCTGAGTTTGGGTCAGATCTAGACTATTAGCTGCTCACTGTAGCTCTGCTGCACTCTCATGACTCTGTCTCCAGCCTGGCTTGAGGCAGTTACACAGGCTGTCAGGAGGAGGGAAAGATGCCATTGCACAACTAAAATCTGGCTCTCCCCCTTCTCTTCCCACCCTAGGGCTATCAGTCCTGCAGAAAGTGTTGGACACTGCAGCTGAGAAGAACTGGCAGGTGACAGCTGTCAACATCCTGACAACAACCGAGGAGGGCTACAGAATGCTCTTCCAGGAGCTGGAGAAGAAGAAGGAAAGGCTGGTGGTGGTGGACTGTGAATCTGAGAGGCTGAACATCATCCTTAACAAGGTTGTGTGGGTGTGGGAAGGATCTTGCATGTAGGCTGGGAAGGGTTGTTTCTCCCTGGGGAAGTTCTCCCCATTCTTGCCTGATCCTTGTCCCCTTGTGGCTCCCATCGGAATTGGAGTGTGTGCCTTGCAGGTATTTCTCTGCTGTGTTATTGTGGAAACAGCAAAGCTGCAGGAACAGCACAGGCTCTTATGAATTCATGCTCAGTGAGCTCCACTGCTCCTTGTTCTCCCCTTGTTTGACTCCTTTGCTGAGCCCAGCACACCCCCTTGCTCCCCAGTGGGTTTGCTTTGTGCAAATTCCTCCAAGCAGTGTGCACAAGATGTGGCACCTCCTGATTCTGATGAGTCTTTCTCCAGATTTCGAGTTAAGGTGGAGGTGTGAATTGGCACTGCCAGATTCCTGGTCCTCCAGCCTCCATGTGCTGCATCAAATTCTCACACCTGTGCCAGCAGGACAGAAGGATTATGGCACATCTGTCCTGAACGTGGATTTCTGTGGATGGGAGACAAATACAAGCCCAGGGGTGGGTTGAGTCCACACTTCAACTCCAGCCACAAGACCTTCCCCTCCCACACCTACAGCCAAGTCCTTCCCCACCACTGGAAGGGTTTGAAATGGGCCCTGCAGGCCATGCCCTGCAATTTCCACTGCTTTACTCCTCATAATCAGCTCACTCTTGCCTCGTGCTTCACACACCTCCTTAGCTAAGGTACCTGTCACCTCCTGTCTCACTCTTCAGCATTTCAGCAGATGCACAGCTCAGTGATGAGCACAACCCATCCTGGCTGGATATCTCTGGGTGCTCCTCTGTTAGGTGTAATAACAAAGCAGAGAGCAGGTTGTAGCCTCAAAGCAAAGGTCACGTTCATGAAGGAGAAAACAGGTTATTCCAGGGGTTAAATCTTCTCTCTGGCTATGGAGCAGCTGCAGTTGAACAAAAGTTTGGAGAAGACCTAGGCAGTGAATTTGGCTTTTCTTTAGAGTATATCAGATTTCTAGGATTAATAGTATCGGGTTTTTGTCTAACAGAATGTTAAGTTCTATAGTCAAGTATTATCTAGTCTTGATATGAGCAGGAAAATAAGTCTTTCAAATTTCTTCATATAACTGGAGCAAGAGTTAAACCTAAATATAGGAAAAGCTATTTGTAAGAACACTAAAAATCCAGATACTGTGATTATTTGTTTTGCAACGCTATAAGAAATATCAGTTCCTAGGGAGAAGAGGTTCAAAGCTGTGTTTTACTACAAAAACTACATAGCAATTCCAGCAGACATCTGTGCCTGGGAGGTAACACTCCAGTGAGGGATAGGACTGTGAACATTTTCAGACCTGTGTAGTCCATTTTCATCCATTTTTATATTCTTGTTCCAAGTCCACCAGGATTTCTGAGAGCAGAGGCAGTTGTCCCTGAGTGAGAAAGTGATGCCAGGTCTTTCATAGTGTACAGATGACTGGAGGGATTCAAAGATAGTGTTCAGCTCATTATCATGTGAAATTCAGCTGGGACTGTAACTTGGGCTCTACCTTGGCTGCTGGCTGGTCTCACCACACCAGCAGCCTCTGTGGGAATGTCCCTGTGCTGCTTGCCCCGTCCCTCTGACTGTCTGAGGCATTCCAGGAGCTGCCTCAGCCTCTCGGGGACATTTCAATGCATTTATCTTCTTCCCTGACAAGCCTGTCTCCATCTCTCAGTAAGATTTGTGATTCGTGCTCCATGGTGAGCAGGAGAGCTGGGGATGGCCATCCAGCACCTGTGCCTCTCACGCCCACACTGCTGCTTTTCACTTCTCCTCCACACACAAAACACAAATAACACCAGTGACTCCAGCAAGGCGGCCCTCACGCTCCAGTGACCACAGCTGTGGAGGAGCCAGTGCTCTGTGTGTTAAAAATGACCTGGTTTCTCTCTGGGAGAGCTCTCTGTGTCATCTCTCAAGGGTTTGATTTATCCTTGCCGAGGTACCTGTCATCTGTGAGCCAGGCCTTGGCTCAGGGCAGGTTGCCATGGGGTTGTGCTGTGTAGCCTTAATGGGATAAGTACTCGGTGGGTTGTATTCCATCAAAGCCCTCTATTGTTTCTTCCTTGTCTCTCATTAAAATGAGTAACTGGAATTTCTCCTCTGCCAGTGTTTCACTCTGAGAGGATTTCTCTCTAATAGATGTCAAACTCACCCATTAAGAAGTGGGTAATGAAACCTAGGTGGCCCAAGTGAGCAATCAGCATGCAGCCCAGCACAGCCTCTCACCACAGTCAGGAGGAGTGATAAATGCTATTATAACCTCAGCTTGCTACTGCTGTCTGGACACATTAGGACTGAGCAAGCATTTTAAAATAAATTAAGATCACAAATAACTGTGTAAAACACAGGAAACGAGCTTCATAATTCAGGTGGATGGGCTGTAAGATTTACAGCTCAGGCAGAGCTGGATGGCAGCCCTCTCTGGTTCATCGGCTCTGACACCTCATAAAATAACAAAGGAGAGTTGGGGCTGAAGGAGCCAATGCCAGCTATTGTTGACACTGGAGAAAAGGGGAATTGGATCATAATTCTTAGACATCCCAGTGCACCAGAGATTCTCCTTCCTCCTCCAAGGTCTGGGACTTACTGCAAAGGTCAGTCAGAGCTGATGAATGGAAAGGGACAAGTTTGGTCTGGTTTTGCTTCTTAGATCTGGCAGTGGAAGATGCTCAGAAAACCACCCATAAAAATATCTTCATAGCTTTAGGTAGACAGAGGGTTTTTTCCTGAGAGCTCCAGACGCCTCAGCAGAAGCCACACTGAGGGATCCTGTGCAGGGAAGCTGGTGGAGCTGGCATTAGCTGTGTGAGGAACTGCTTCTAAATGAAGCCTTCATTGGAGTTAATTGCCACCCCCACGTTAATGCAGAGAACCAGATGAGTTTTATTATGCATACAAGAGCACTTCATCAGAGAAGGGCTAAGGCAGACGAACCAGTTGTACAGAGCAAGTGTCAGCTCATTTATAATCCATTTGGAAATCCCTAAATGACTGCTCATGATAATCTGGGAGTGCTGTCCCATGGGGAGGATCAGTCTCTGCCCTCATCTGACACTTCTCAAGTACCTGCTGCCAGCCTGGTATCAGAGACAAGTCCTGGGTAGACTGATTTCTGGTTGAATCTGACACAGCAGTGCTTTTATGCTCATTCTGGCTGTGAGGATCTTTCTGTCCTCGCTGCAGTTTGTGCAGATTTTGCCTGCGCGTTGGCAATGCAGGCAGCAATTTGGAATCAATTCATATGACAATGGAAATAAGAGGCAGTGTTGCCAGCCAAGAAACCTAATGGAAACAGCACAGTTCTCTCATGTCTTGTGTTTGTACTGGCTTTGAAGGCATATTGGTTTGAGCTTTTTTTTCCACTTTCTTCGTTCTGTGTGTAGAGTGGCTCAAATGCTGATGGTATCTGACTCTAGTAAACTAGTAAGAATTTAACAGTGCTGCTGGAAATCAATAGAGGGGAATTTCAATGAAAAAATGGAGTCAGCAAGAATAATAGACTTTTTAAGTGTATTCTTCCTGCACTCATTTTAAATCAAGGGAGAAAAGACAGGGGGCATCTGAGCACTGCCTCTGTTCCCCCCAGCCACAGGCAAATCTGCAACAGGTGGAAGAAAAAAGAAAGTTAACATAGAAAAATTCAATTTTTACAGATTGGTAAGCGATTGTGTTGATAAAAGAAAATAAAAACCTGACTCTGCACTGTCAGGGACAAAGGAGTAAGTGGCAAAGCACATATATTGGGACACTATGCATATGAATCTACAAATTATCTCAATGAACATGCAGGGAAATCCTCTGTGGCTTGCCCAAACAGCTTCACTCTGGAGATGTAGTTTGAAACTATAAGTTTGAAAAAATTTACCCATAACCTAAACTTCCAGCCATCTCTCCCAGGCAGGTGTTTGCAGCAGGGGCTGTATCTTGGAGGATGTGCAAGATTGCTCTCTAGTCTTGCTTGATGTTTATGTTTTTGTCATAAGACACACAGTCTCTAATTCCCCATTTGTTCCTTTGGTGTCTGAAATCCAAATCTTAATAAGGCTTTTTTTTTTCTCCCCTGAGCCTGTAGGAAACAGCTTGGTTTGGTTGTTTTCTCTCCCTGCCTGTACAATGTGCTTGGGGATCTTGTCCTGTCTAATTTCAGATTTGCTGCTCAGATATCATGTGTGAAAGCTATGGTCATCCTCTAATAAGATTGTGAACTTTTCTTTTGTTATGTCTTCCTGAAGCTAAATAGTCTCAGCAAGGAAACATAAGAGTGAGAAAGGGCAGATAACTGAAGTTCTTCCTTAGTTGATCCCCACTAATTATCCTTGTTTTTTATCTTGCAGATCATCAAGCTTGAAAAAAATGGGAATGGATACCATTATATTCTGGCAAATATGGTGAGTTACCCTAATTGGTGGGATTTTTTCTATTTTACAGTTTTGTAAAGCACTATATTTATAATTGCTGAGCTGTACAGCATTTTTCTCATCCATCTTTTAGGTAAAAAAATACCAAAGTCTTTTGCTGTGTTCTCCTTGTAGAGTTTTCTCTTTTGAGCCAGCAAGGTTATCTCCAAGTGTGGTGGGGTTTTGTGGTGGTTTGACCTTGGCTGGATGACAGATGGAGACCAAAGTCATTTTATCACTCCCCCTTGGTGCTAAATGAAATCTGACTGTCATGGCCCTAGGGAAAGAATTGAATGCAAAGATTTCTTTAAGGAAAGGATTCTCCCTTCAATGCAGGGGGGTGCTGCCTGAGGACAGAGCAGCATTGGGCAGGAACATCTTTCTGGAGCCAGTCTCACAGGAGGATGGAAAATTTCTTTGCCTAGGGAGATTAGGGGAGAGGTAAGAGGGAGAAATGGAGTTTCTCCACAGCAGAACTGCTACCCTCTCCTCCCCAAAGGTGTCCAGGAGGATGCACAGCAGTGTCTGGGCTGAGGCTGCTCCCAGGTGGATCCTCTCAGGACTCCTGATTCCCCATGGGGTGGGCCATGTGCAGGCTCTGGACCCGTTCTTTCAGCACAGAGCTGCATCTGGGAGGCAGCACGTCAGCCCTGGGGTAATTAAACTTTAAACTACCAATTAGTCAAGCAGTTGCTGCCCTTCTCCTTTTCTCAGTCCCAAGAGAAGTCTGTAATTTACCAGGCAAAAATGGCCACATCATTACCCTGCAGTGCCCTGCACTGACCCTGCACCCTGTGCTGGCTGCCTACGGTGTAATTACAGAGATAAAAATGTTACCTTGTGCAGGGGGGGACATGCAAAACCATAGAGCAGCCAATAACTTCAGTTGCTAATTTTAAAAATAAAGTTATTATTTGCCATAACCCAGGTCCTGGATGTTTATGAAAGTCCCTTCATTAAAGTGAAGCAGGAAAGTGAGCTGGAGTCACTGCAGTGAGTGTGTCTGGGCAATTTTAAATACACCCACATGGAAGGCTGAATGAGAATATCACCAGTTCCCTCTGCACAGTTTCATAAGGATAAATGCATGAAAAGCATGAGGTGAACTGAACTAACACTCAGGTGTAGGAGATTTGAAGGACATTTCCCTCTGTCTAAGGATACCACGCTCTCTCACCTTCACCCAGAGAAAGTACACTTGTCCCACCTTTAATGTGTTTCCTCAGCCTTTGCACAAATGCTGAGAGGACAGAGCTGGCTGGAAGAGGTTACATACTCAGCCAACATGGGTTATAAATAATTAACTCAGAGCAAAAAGCTTTCACTTCTTCAGCCCCTCTGCAGGGACATTCTGCCTCCCACTGCAGCTCAGTGGAGGGGGCTCTGGGTGTCTGTTTGGGTATCAGTGTCCGATAGGACCACCAGAATTCACTGGTGTGCTTTCCAAGCAGCTTGGATTCTGGGGAGGAGCAGAGTGAAAGGAATTCAAGCTTTACCTTTGGTCTTTCCTGCTCCTTAAAACTCAACATCACACAAGGACCAAAAGTCAGAGAGGGGAATACTTAAAAAAAGAAAAAAGAGCAGGGGATAGTCAGACAACATGAGAAAACTACTTAAAAAAAAATCCTGGCACCCCTCAAGGTTAAGAATGTCCTTTCCAGGGCAGAACAACACAGGCAGGTTCAGATGCCAGAGGCCAAATCAGTCCCTGTAATGTGCTGCACCCACAAGAGCTAATGCATGATGGGTTTAGCAAAGAGAATGGCAAAAGGCCCTGAAGATCCCATGTTTCTGAGATCACAGAGCAGCAAGGAGGGACAGCAAGCCTCCCTCAGTGGGGATGGCCAGGGATTTTATAAGAGGTTGGCAGAAGCTGGCATCTGGCAGGGTTAAACCCTGCTGCTAATCCAAGAGATCACAGTAGGTTTTACCCTCTTCTGAGGACACCTCATCGCTGGATTAGAGCCTTCAGAGGGTGTAGCTTGCTGTAATTTATTCCCACTGACTCACACTCATAGTGGTAGACCTTAAACACCCCGCATTTTCCCCTGTAGACGTGTCCTAGGATGACAGGGCGTGCGTTGCCCACACACACACACGTACCCTCGTGCGCGCCCGCGTGCCTGGGAAACAGCCCTGCTCCCTGGAAGTGGCTCATTCTGGAGCACTGACTAGTCAGAGAATAAATTAAGAGCTAAAACCTGGAAGTGTTGGGTTTCCAAATGAATTCTTTTTTGTGCCCTGTGCCAGCTGAGGTAGTCCTGAGTTTAGGACTCTCACCCCGTGTGAAGATCAGGTCAAGGGAATCCTCAGCTGGTTTGTAGCCACCAAGTTTCCTGCACTAGCTGGAGCAAAGGGAGGAATTCTCAACACCTGCCTTTTGCCTAACCTACCCAGGCATGGAAAAATGGGCACATGGTTATGGAAATGACACACTGTAAGCAAATATTGGGAAACATTTCTGGATAACCCCAATTAAATTCCTTTTTTTAGCTATATGCTTGTTCAGAGCCATACACAGCCAAAAAATCCAAGCAGCACCCACCACTGCCCAGTTGCATCAGCTTCAAAGTGCTGTTCCATCAGGAATGCAAAACAAGTTTGCAAGGCAATGCACAGACTGAATAGCATCTAAAAAAGATCATCCATAGGCACATTTTGGAATGGAGGAATTCCCTCTCTGGGCACAGCCAACACATGAGCAGAGTCCCTGCCTTGCATTAGCCTTGCAGTGTGTTTGCCCAGCAGTTGCTCTGGGTGAGCTGTAGTGAAGTGCTGAGCAGGATTTGACAGCAGCAAGTGAAATCTGGAATTTCCTAGCAGGAACAGCTTTCTTTTTTAGTGAAATTGCTGTTGCCAAGGTGAGACAATAATATTTCTGTGTTCACAAACAAAATGAAACCATTCTGCACCTTAGGCCATGGATAAATATCCTTCTCTGAACCTGCTATGCCTGCTAAAGACACAACTTGTCTTGTCTCCCCAGCCCTACCCCTCCCTTGAATATCTGACTGCAACATCCTTGCCAGGGGAAGAGTTTCTGTAAGCATCCCTGCCTCTCCTGAAGCCAAATTTGGCACTGTTCATGGCTTTTGCAAACTGATGAAATCCTGGTCTTTAACCAGTATCCATCAGAGTTACCCCAGCTAGCTTTTATCAGAGCTAACTGGATATTTGTCAGGTGCGCTGGCACTGGAGGTTTGCAGCCATCTCTTTCTCTCTCTCTCTCTCTCTCTTCCCCTCTAGCACTCAAAGAGATTTGGCAATTTTTAAAAGCGTTTGTTTCTGGGAGTCTTATTTTTCTAAGCTTTGTTCTCAGCCTTTGAGATCATCAGTTCTAGCAACCACAAAGAGAAAAAAAACCACAGTCAATACTATCAGAGGAAGAAGCTTAGAAACTTCTGGGATTCCTTTCTTTTGATGTTCAGGCTTTTTGCCCATACCCTTGGCTTTGTGTATCTGCTTCTCCTATGCCATGGATGTGAGCTGACTGTCAGCAGTGGGAGAGCATCAGCTCTCTTGGGCAGAGAAAAATCCTTGTCATTAAGTAAGTGACATTCATGTGACCTATCTTTAAAGGAAAAAGTATGAAAGACAGCTGCCACATACAGTGTTTTAGCCTCTTTTTTTCTTTCCTAGAGCATTAGTCCAGGTTGCTCTCTTAGCAAATGCTCTTTTTTTTTGAAGATGAATAGATAAGTGTATGAGATTGCTGATGGCAGGGGTAGCAGGGAAAAGTAAAGATAAAAACAGTGTTGATTAGTGAAGGTAAGCACTTTTTCCTGTGCCATTCTACATCAGCCTGTATCAGCACTGAGTTAGGACACTGAGTTTCCCTTTGCTGGCAGCTGTGGTGCTGGTGGAGGTTACCAGAGATACCTTAGAGAACTTAGAAAGATAAAAACACATTTTTGAGAAAATATTAGTATAAAAGGTAATACAAAGGTTGGTCTTTATTGGAGACCTCCAGGGGAAGATATGGAAACATGTCCACAAAATGCCCACCACCCCACTGGGTGAATACAGTCTCATAAGTTTAGCAAATTAGCATAACTGCCAAAAATCACCAATTAGGAGCACAAGAGGTGATGCCATTTCCCCCGACTCAATAGTCTCCAAATCCTCCCCCCTCAGATGGAAATTAAACTTTACTTGTTAAAATGTGTCTTGAAGAGCTGTTCTTCAGCCATGATTCCCACAAAGCACCAAGATAGGGCTGGGGCCTTGGAATCTGTTTTGTCTTTCTGGCAAGTGAAAAGGTAGGGAAAAGTACTGGGAAAACCAGCCACAGATATAATAGGCCACAGAACTACAAATACATGTGTAAAGAATACAGAGAATATATAAAAGAAACAAAACAAAAATAATTTGACATCATCATTTCCCCCAGCACAGCAGCTTTGTCAGCAGAGTGGCTCATGCAGGAGTCAGACAAGATGTCCTGGATTTATCCAGTTCACCCATGGGTTGGATGGGCAGCGTTGACTTTTTGCAGAAGAACTTCTGCACTGTTAAAGTTAAATAGAAAAACTAGAGTGTGTGTAAGTTAGAGAGTTTACTTAAGTCACTGGGTGAAAAAGATAAAGGTTTAGACTGGTTTAGAAAATAAGAGACAAGATGGAGGATTTAGGGTGTTGTCTCTTCTTCCTTCTTCTTTCTTCATCTTCTTCTTCTAGAGGTTTCTGGGTAGTAATAAGTGATTTGATAAAAAGTGCTGCAGTGCAGTACACAGGTATTGGGTCATTGGGTCACTAAGAAAAATAATTTACTTGTCATTTGTTAATTGGTTAAATAGATATATAAAAGACCTTGAAGAAGTTTTTTGTTATCCATTTTGCACCTTTCTATCTTAGTGCAAGTAGCTCCTTTTACCCTGTGTATATGTAATGTAGATAAGAGAAGAATAAACAACCAAGTCTAAAGAAGAGAAAACTGCCTCTCTCATCAATCTCAGCCCAAGGGGCAAAAAGAGCCCAGCCACAAGTGTCCCA